AGGCAGTGTCTTCCCGGTGTTTGTATTATGATTTTTTTTTACACCATCTCTGCACAATAGCGTTATTTGATCTTGTCCACTACCAGCATTAGCCACACCAGCCAATACAGAATTACGTTGACTATGAAAATGTCTGGGTTGCTTTGCCTTTGCTGTTGGTGTATGTGTAAATAATATTATAACAATATGTACATAGCAGGTCTCTGTGTTAGTTTAGAAAATCTATGACACCAGTCTCAAACCAGCACGTAACAGGTAGTTTCTACCCCTTCACCTGTCACCAAAACCTCTCAAGGGCCCTGATCCTGCAAACATGCTCCCATAGGGAAATATTTGCACACAAAGTGGGAATAGTGATTCCATCCATTCATTGTACAGGTGAGAAAACAGGTATATTGAGGTGTTAAATTTGAAAAGTAATGATATTATGCTTGAAAAAAATGTTTTTAAGACTATGCTTTAAAGTTCTGTGTAGGTTAAGGAAATACTTACAGTTGTGTGGACCTGTTAATAACTTTGTTGTAATGGTTCTCCCACCTTCTCTTTCTCTGATGATTTTCTTCAGTTTAGTGTTGGCTAGACATATCCATCACTGGGGAAAAGGAGCCACCAAAGGAAATATAAGATATTATATGCGTAAACTCTTTCTTACCTGCTATGGCTAAAGTTGTATCAGGCAATGAGATGTTTTCCAGTGTGTTCATAAACTAAGCCACATCAAGCCATTTAGTACCTGAGTGGAACAGATGTCCAGTGTGTTATGTAGGAAATGTTGGTGATTCAGTAGCTGATACTCCTCCCATTGAGTCATTTCTGAACCATCCCTTGGCATAAGACTATGAAGCACTGCACAGTGGGAAGTGCCAGCTCTCCGATGTGATATAAAACTAAAATCCTGCTCACTTACAGTGAATAAGGGCAAGATCATGCTTGTGACAGTGCGTTGTATCCCTTGACCCATACCACAAGTCACAGTGCAGGGCTGTGCACTCTTCTATAATCTTTTGGCTAGCATTTCTACGTCAGCACAAAGGGAAAAATAATCTGTGCCTCATTACATGGGCCACTGCAGATTCTTTCACATCTACCACCCCCAAACTTAAGCAGGAACCAGGAACTGAACTATGACTATCAGGGACAATTCATTGTTCATCTTTTCCTAGTGCAGTGCATTTCTCGGTTGATCCAAAAGTCTAGTGCGCTGTGGTGAAGCATAACAGCACCTTTTCTGAGCTGCCAGTTTATTTGCTACCATTTAGTTTTAACATTTATGATTTTGGAGAACATTCAAAGAGTGTGAACCAGCTATAATGAATGCAGTGGTATCTGCCTGAATTTGCAGACAGCCTGATACAATAGTTATGAGTTTTGAACTGCCTCTTTGACCTAGTGATATGTTAACTCTAACACCAAGTGAAGACAACTTTGTCAACTATTTCACTGTTCAATATAGGAATAATATTTTATTAATAAAATTACTATCCTTGGTATCAATTTCTAATCACAAGTACGTGCTATGGAACAGTAAGATCCTACTTCTGCAGAAGTCAATGACAAACCCAGCTCCTGAATACAAAGTATTCTTAGGTTGTTTAAATTGTGTTTTATGTTACTTTTTCAGCTTACAGCAAATCTGAAGCCATTTGGGTAAATGATCACATTTCTTAGTTTCCTCTAGTTTGTCAATTTAGACATAGCCCAGAAACTGAAACAAATGAAGAATACCAATAATTTTTGTAGGACTTATGAAAACCCAATATTTTGTGCTCCCTCTGCTGGTTCAACAGCAATAGCAAACTTACTCTCTGAGCAGTAGTTCATTAAAGCTAAGAATGATGTTGGTGCAGAGAGAGGTATTTTTTGACATTTTTGTTTCAAATCACACTTGTCAAATGGAAAACAAAACAGGGAAAAGACCCTTCATCTTTTTTTAAGTCCTACTATGCGTATTACTGGCTTAGTAATACACACAGCCTTCTAACTGTGTGCCTTTAAATAATGCATATATTTTAGACAATTAGTTAATTTGGACTATTTTGTAAAACTTAAACATGTGGTATCATTTGTATTTCTCACAATCCTGATCGATATCTAATGCCCTTAATTCTTATTTTCTTCATTGCAAGTTGTAGATGATCAACATGTTTTGGGATCTGGCTTTAAGATAGATAAAATCAGACTTTCAAAGTATTAATAATTAAGAATTGCCAACAATGTGCTGGGTACCGTGCCAACATTAAAGAAGACGCAATCTCTGCTTCAAAGAACTCGCATTCAGATTCTGCAACTACTTAAGCATGTCATTAATTTCATTCATCTGAATAGTCCAGCTGGCTAAGCGCCTGATCCTGAAAACTGTCCTGTGTGAGTCCAACCATTTCCCCTATGCTAAGGCTATGGATTTCAACTGGGGTTTTGTATGGGCCCTGAGGTCTACCCAGGTGGAACATCCTTGAGTGCCTAAAAAGATAAAACTGGCATAAAAGAAAGGTAAGGTGAAGGGTTAAAACATACAAGTAAAGTAATTAGCATAGTCATTGGCTACATCATGGCGATGGAATGTTTGATAATAAGATTTTGTAGTTTGTTATGTTATATAGTCTATCTGTTATAGCTGCATCTTGTCACTGTCAGACACCCAATTTCTTGTTCCTGTCATGGTAAAAGTGGAACTTCAAGTCCAGTTTGAGTGAAGGGAGGCTATTAACTGCAGACTGACTTAGGTTTTCCATGCTGATGTGGAAGGCAGGGCAGGGTAGTACCTTACAAAGTAACTCATTCTAGGTGGAAGAGGAGAGGTAATGATGAGATGAGAGAAGATGACAGGTTTGCAGGCAATAGTTTTTCCAGGGAACATTTTTTGGGGGGCAGAGGGAAAGGCATGATGACAGGTGATCAGGTTTTTTGCCAAAACAGGTATATGTCTGACAGCATTACGAGGCTGTGGCCTCAATTCTGCAGCCACATTTACCTTTAAAGATGAGTCATCCTAATAATGGCTAGGGACAGAAATTACATGAAGCTGCTATAAATGATTGGAAACTGGTCCAAATCTATAACACAGCCAAAGTTCAGTACACATAAACTGCTTTCAAAATGACTGAAACCACTTTAAGATAAATCTGCATTGATACAGTGTCAGATTTAACTGATTTAGGTTAAATTGCTTTATTGAATTTCTGTCCCAGATCTGCTCCAGATTCAAGTTAGCTCACAGTCCCCCAGCATCCCAGGATGCTTTGTACTTCCCTCTGCAACCCTTCCCCCGCTCTCAGGGCAGGCAGGCTGGCCTTGGCCCAACCTGTCTGCTCCAGCCAAGCAGGGAGGTGTGCTGTAGCATCGTGCCAGCTTTGGCTTGGGCCACTGCAGGCACGTGGCTGTATTTCTGGAAATAGAAGTGAGTGTCTGTTCACCTGCATATCGGTTCAATTTACGCAGCTTAGACTAACCTGTGAAGACTGACTTGATTCAGCCTCGGTTTTTTGAGCTTGGACAGGCATTATGTTTATTCCAGAGTGATTTGACTGTACTCTGGGGTAATTGTAGCGATCACATGATGCACAGCCTTATCCTGGTACAAGTCGCTCCTTTCCAGGGTAAAGGGGCTTCTCTGAAAGTGAGGAGTAGTCCTCAGACTTACGACACAATTGGTTCCTGAAAACCACGTCTTAATTCGAAACTTCGCCACTCAGAACTGATTTTCCCATAGGAACAATGTTATAAATGGGGGCTTGGTTCCTGAACCAAGGCCCTAGACCCTATTTTCTCCAAAAATAACCTAGAATTTTGTACTCAGTCAATTATAGATGAGTAGTATAGCTACATTAATGTATTTAGATTGTAAATAGCGATCATACTGATTTGGAAGGACTTCTTTAAGGTGTTCTTGCTGGACGTTTTGAAGGGCTCTTAGTTGGACTTTTTGAAGGGTTCTTGGCTGGAGCCTTCTCAGGAGTCCTGGCTTCAGGTCTTTCTGGAGTCTTGTCTGCTTATTAAAGAAAGCGTCCAAGGAAGTTTGGACAGATGTTCTCCAGGGAGATGAGTGACTCAGCGAACTTGTTTGCTGGCGTCGGGTCAAGCATTGTAAAGTCAAAACTGACATCAGAAAGTCGAAACGGTGTCAGTTTATTAATGTCGTAAGTGTTGTCCATTGTAACTTGAAACTTCTTGAGTCGAAAACTGCCTGTACAGGGGTGTAAATCACACTGGTGCGTCTACAGCTTATGAGTTCAATGGCACCATTGGCAATGCATGGTGGTGCACCCGTGAAAAGGCACTGCCAACACTGCCGGCGGTGCCTGTGGACAGTTGCCGCTTGCCACCCCCTTCCCCGCCGCTGACACCACCGGCAGTGTCGGGGTGGTGGGCAGTCCATGATTGCCACGGGCTGCTGCCAATTGGTTGGTGCTCACCACCACCCCCAGCTGCCAACCATGCTGTGGCCACCTGTGGGAGCTCCCCGCTTGCCACTGCCACACTCTCGCCACCCACAGCGCCGGCACTGCCTACAGGAGCTCGCCGTGCCTGCCCCACAGCCTCCGGGGACACACGGTGTTCATGAACTGCATCATGCACCGGGTGTAGCCGTGTTGGTCTAAGGACATGGGCAGACCAGGCTCTTTGGGTGAATCTCTCTTAGACCAGCTGGACTAGTTGGAAAAATTCTGCCACGAAGAATTTTTTTCCAACCATGTGAGTTGCCCTCCCAAAAGAGCTGGGATTTGCCCAGAGAACCTTGTGTGCCCGTGGCACCATTCACAGGCAGGTGCCGAAGTGGTGGCAGGTCCGGGGCCTAACTTTTCTTGCTCTCAAAGCATAAGAAGAGGGTGTGGGCGAGCTCGGCTCCCCCCCCGCTCGCCGCCCCCGGCCGGGGCAGCCGGGCCGTCGCTCGCGGGCCGTGCTGACGTCGAGGAATCCACGCCAGGATTTGAAGCGCGCTTCCTGAGTGACACATTGACATCAGAGGGGGCGGGCCGCGGAGGCGGGGCGGGGGCTCCTCGCTGAAATGCTGCGGTGCCGAGCCGCAATCACTCGGGAACAGCACGGCTCAAGCGCCCCGCGGCTCCCCCGGCGATAGCAGCCCGACGCCCGCGAGCCGCTGCCCGGCCACGCTGCTTGGCTTGGAATTAGCCGCCGTTTGCCTCCAATGTGCCTTGGGCAGCAGCTTGCCATCTTTGCGTTAGGTAAGCGCGCCGCCGGGCGCCTCGTCCGCGGCTCTCGCAGGC